TCTCCCTCCTTCATCTCCCCCTGCTCCCCCTCCCCCTCCCCCTCCTCCTCATGTGATAAATTGAGAGCTGACCGCCCACAGCTTCTCATCCCTGCAGCTGTGGCCAGCATGCTGGGGGCAGGGGAGTGGGGAAGGGAGACCACCTCACACCCTGCCTCCTCTCAGGCTCCTGTGTGGTGCGTGATGCCTCCGGGGACCTGAACGACACGGTGACCCCTGGCTCTGGTGCCTGTGAGGGGCTGGCCTGCGGCTACGGCTGGAACTTCACCCAGTGCGCCCAGCAGCACAGCTGCCACTACGGCCTCATCAACTACTATCAGGTACCCGCTCTGGCTCTGGGGGACTGCTGCTGGGACTGGACAGGTGGACAGGGGACGAGTGGGCCTCCTGTGCTCCCTGAGAGGGCACTGGGAGCCCCAGGTGAGGTGGCAGCCGTGGCCCCAGCTCAGGCCCTCGTCCCTGCAGACCATGAGCATGGTGTCGGGCTTCGCGCCCCTGATCACCGCCGGCATCTTCGGGGCCACCCTGTCCTCTGCCCTGGCCTGCCTGGTCTCTGCTGCCAAGGTCTTCCAGGTGAGGCTGCAGACAGGGGCCAAGGTAGGGACAGACCGGGCTGGAAGGCCCAGGAGGAAGGGTCCCCAGGTGATTGCTAGGGGGACTCTGAGGGGTCACGTGACAGGGACGTCTAGAGGAAGGAGAAAGGGCCAGGCAAAGGCTCCTGCAGGGAGCGGCCCCTCCCAGTGGGTGGCCTGAGGCTCACCTGCCCTCTGCCCGCTGCCCGACCCCCTGGGTTTGGCCCTGGTCCTATCTCCATGGTGACGGGGAGGGCTCACCCATTTAGCAGAACTAGAAATGGGGACCCAGATGGAGGAGGTGCCCTCTGATACTACAGAGGGGACCAAGCAGGAGCTAGAGGGCCCTGGGAGGCCGGGGGGCACGTGGCAGCCAGGGAGTGGCCACAGTGTCTGGTGCCCGCAGTGCCTGTGCGAGGACCAGCTCTACCCACTGATCGGCTTCTTTGGCAAAGGCTACGGCAAGAACAAGGAGCCCGTGCGCGGCTACCTGCTGGCCTATGCCATCGCAGTGGCCTTCATCATCATTGGTAAGAGGCTGCCGAGCCTGGCCTCCGCCTCCCAGCCCAGCTCCTCTCCCCGCTTCTCCTCCGGCCAGGCCTGGTCAGTGAGCACCCAGAGAGGGGCGTCCAACCTGGGGCACGCCACACCTCTGAGCTGACCCGGAGAATGGCCCCCGAGTGGGCTAGCCCTGCCCGGAAGGAGCCCCCCTCCTCCAGACAGTGAGATGGCCCTCACGCCAGCGTCCTGGCAGCTGGGATCCTCTTCCCCTGAATTCCCAGGCTTAAATGAACCCCCAGGCTGCCTTGGGAGCCAGGCCACTCTGAAGGGTCCCTGACTGGAGCTGATACAAATGGCCTGGTCAGTGTCTTTGTGGGTTATGAGCTAGAAAAGCCACTTTCTTGACCCTTGGGCTTCACGGTGGGAAACACCTGGTACATCAATCAGATAGATCCATTTTTTGCCCTGGCTTTGCCATGTGGCGGCTGTGGGACCTTGGACACATGACTTCACTTCTCTGGGCCTTGATTTCCTCATCTGCAGAATGGGAGCAAGATTGTGTAACAGGTGTGCCACAGGTGGGCAGGAAGAGACTGCGAGTAAGCACAGCACACACACACACACTCATATGCACACTCACACACACACACGTGCACACACCCAGTACTTCCTGATAACTCAGCTAAGGAAACACCAGGAGAGAAGTGGCCACACCCAGCATGGACAGTGGCCAAGTGGGGATGTCCATAGTCCTTGCCCCCTATGCTGCAGCTTGTGGGCACCTTCCTGCCACAGCCAGACCCCTGCCTCCCAGCCTGGCCTCACCCATTTCCAACCGGAGACCTGCCCTGACAGTCTGGTCACTGCTACCGAAGGGACGCTTTCCAGATGCTCACCCCTGGATCCTGGTGGCAGGTCACACCCAGGGGATGGAGGAGTCTAGACAGGGCTGCCATCACAGAAACCCACCCCTGCTGCCTGCTACCCCGCCCCTGGCTCGGAGCCATGCCTCTGCTCTGGGCGTCCTGGCTGGCCAAACTGGACCATGATCTCAGGTGCTCTGGGGCTGGGTCTCACAGCGATTGGATGGGATCATGGGCAGAAGGACCAACACATAAGAGGTGCTTGCCTTGTTTGGGGGATCCCCAGAGAGGCCCTGTGCTTCATGTGCACAGGTTTATCTGGGGACAGTGACAGGGAAGGGGTGACAGTTCTCAGGGGTCCTGGATGTATTCCTTACTGTAATTTGTGGTCAAAAATGTCCCAGCCACTGCCGTTGGTCATCCCGTAGCCTGACGGGAGCTCTCCCATGCTGCCTTCGTCCGCTTAAAAGTTGGCAGCTTTCAGCTTATAAGACTCCATCCCTTGGAGCTTCCCAAGAGGAAGGACCCACTTCACAGATGAAAAGGTTGAGACTGACGGATCCTTGCAGCCTGCCTGGGGTCCCATCTCTGAGGGAGGGTACGGTGGCAGGTGGGTTGCCCGACAGATGGTCCTTTCTCCCTGGGTCCCTGAAGCCGAGCTCAACACCATCGCGCCCATCATTTCCAACTTCTTCCTGTGCTCCTACGCCCTCATCAACTTCAGCTGCTTCCACGCCTCCATCACCAACTCACCGGGTGAGCGAACCCTTCGCCCTGCACCCAGAGGCGCCCAAGGGCTGGGGGTGGAGGTGGGCTGGCAGGCGGGCAGCCCCGGGACCCTCTTCAGGTGGAATGGTAGAGAGAGCTTCCTCTACCAGCACCAGCAAGGAACCTCATCCCCAAAGAGGGAAGGGAGAACTTCCCGAAGTCAGACAAGGTCGTCACATTCAGTGCTATAGGTTGCGCACTGCACAGCTCTGGTTAAACGGCTCATATCCCGGCAATGGGACGTCATGGATTTATATGTTTTTGATGAAAAACTGCTGGCAGATGGCAGTAAAGAGAAGTAAAGAGGAAGCCCACTTAGCCCCAAACTGCCACCTTTTACATCACCCACAAGTGCATGGTGCCCTGGGACAGCTCTCACTAGCAATGGCCCTGGCCTGGGGGGAGGGGGTGTCAGGCAGAACCATGCCTCCCCCTCCCTCTGGCCTCGGGAGCCTGGGGAGCTGGCACCCTTGCTGGTGTCGGATGTCCTGTGGCCGGAGTTGGCCAGAGTTGGATGCCTCCTCCCCGGTGGGCAGGCGTGCGGTTCTCCTCGGTGGCTCCAGGCCCAGCCAGGAAGAAAGGCCGGTGGGGCCCCTGGAGTCCCTGGCTAGCAGGCACGTCTGGGACCCAGGCCTTGGGCATCCGGACGACTGCTGCCCCGCGCTGCCCTGGAGGAGGCTCCTTAGTGCAGGGCATGCTGCTGACCCCAGCCCCCGCCCAGGGTGGAGACCCTCGTTCCAATACTACAGCAAGTGGACAGCGCTGTTCGGAGCAGTGGTCTCCGTGGTCATCATGTTCCTGCTCACCTGGTGGGCAGCCCTCATCGCCATCGGCGTGGTCCTCTTCCTCCTGCTCTACGTCATCTACAAAAAGCCAGGTGCGTGGGCACAGGCCATCTGCGCTCCACCCTGCCCAGGGGCCAGGTGCCCGCTGCCCACCAGGAGCCCAGACCTCTGCATTAGAGACCCAGGACCAGGGCTCTCCAGCACAAAGGGCCTGAGGGGGTGGCCAAGGGGTGACTGCTGGAAGGACGGGTGGACCACGCCTGGACTTGGAGGTGTGTCCACGTGTATGCAAGCAGCAATCCGGGGTGACGGGATCCAGGACACACAGCTCCAGAGAGAAGTCTGCGCTGGCACCTGGGCCTTCAGGGTCACGAGGTCTCAGGGCAGGGGTCCGGCTCCCAGAGTTCCATGCCTTGATGCATGGCGGGCCGCCAGCCCCGCTGACCTGCCTCCTGCCCCAGGGGTTTTCTGACCTCGTCGTCACCCCACGCTCCCTCCTCAGAGGTCAACTGGGGCTCCTCCGTGCAGGCGGGCTCCTACAACCTGGCCCTCAGCTACTCTGTGGGCCTCAACGAGGTGGAGGACCACATCAAGAACTACCGGTGAGCAGGGGAGCCGGGGCCCACGGGGAGCTGCAGCCTGGGTCGCTTTGTTCTGTCCACCTCCGTGGGCAGCTGGTCTGGGCAGGGCCAAGGAAGAGCACTGGGTGGGGTGTTTGGTGACCTGAGCAACAATGGCGACTTAGAGGTAGTCCGATGGCCTTCGAAAAATCTGGGCCCGACCTTGGCCCAGAGTCAAGAAGAGGAGTTGGAAAGTGTGCAGGGTCCTGCCTGAGGCCACACTGGGGTTCGGGGTGACCTAGGAGGTGGCAGAACTCCCGGGGCACCTGCCGTCAGCGTCCCCGCGCACGCCCTCCTGAGCTCCTGCCCTTCCTGCTCCTCCTCAGCCCCCAGTGCTTGGTGCTCACTGGTCCCCCCAACTTCCGCCCGGCCCTGGTGGACTTTGTGGGCACCTTTACCCAGAACCTGAGCCTAATGATCTGTGGCCATGTGCTCATCGTGAGTGTCCCCTGTCGTGAGTGCCCTTGCGCTGCTGGGGGAGCCGCCTGGCTGGGGTGTCCATGCAGGGGGCAGGGGCAGAGGGGCGAGGGGCAAGCAGAGCCTGGCTGGGTGGCCCCTCTCTCGGGCTCCTCCCCGCCCACCTCTCCTCTCCTTCTCCCTCTCCCTGCCTGGTTTCTTCCCCCAACTCTGTAAAGGAGAGTGGGCCTCCCCAGATGCTCCTGAGGCTGTGGGCCAGGAGGGGGACCGTGGGCCAGAGGGGGACCGTGGGCCAGGAGGGGGACTGGATCCCAGGCCAGAGGGGGACCATGGGCCAGAGGGG